AGTCATATAGTAGGGGAGAAGGCTGGGAAAGGTGGTATTTATTTCAGATAGTCATTGCCTTTCTGAAACTCTGAGATTCTGTTACTAATGAAGAAAAGGAGGGTAAACACTGAGGGATACTTAGCTTTGACATTTTTTTTTTTTTTTTAACCATGGGTTTGCTTTAGAATACATCTATCCTGTTGCTTGCCTAGAAACTATCACCAAGGGTAGAGAAGAAGGTATCCTATTGCTATGCCTAAAAATCCAAATTAGGAACAGAACATTTAAGTTGGGAAAGAACTCAGTGCGGTAATGACTGTGTTTATTTCACAAGTCCTAGCTATTATCACCATGGGATTAGAAGTCATTTTAAAACTTTTCCTCTTGAGTATTACCAGAAGCTATTTTCCCTGGGAGGATATAGTTTGTTGAATGTTACTAGGCACCTTTGAGCAGTTGATATTGATAAGTTTCTCAATGTTCCTTCTATTTCCTTTCTGAAAAAGCTAAAAGATACCTACAAGGTTTTATATTCTGTTGTGACTCCTTCCTACTGAGAACCAGCAAAGATTATTCCAGATTTCCATATGAATTCAAACTTTAAACTGATATACTTACTTTAGAAAAGTAGCCAACAAGGTGGCAGCCCTTGACATCATTCTGTGTTAGTACATAAAAAAGAAATGGCTCCACATCATAATAGAGTGTTTTGTGGTCAAGAAACAACTTTGCCAAAAGACAAAGGTTTTGACAATAAATTGTACTCACATTCCCATCCACCTAAAAGAAACAAACAAATAAAACAAAGTGGTCAAATAGAATGTCCTCTGGTTCTAGGGTAATGCATATCTGCTAAAAAAAAAAAAAGAAAAAACTTTACTAAAGCTGGGTATGGTGGCACACACCTTTGATTCGAGCACTCGGGAGGCAGAGGCAGACGGATCTGTGAGTTCAAGGCCAGCCTGGTCTACATAGTGAGTTCTAGGACAGCTGGGGCTACAGAGAGACCCTGTCTCAAAAAGACAAAAAAAAAAAGCATTACTAGGTACTTTCAGCCTAGCCTAAGAAAAGAGATCAGAGCACACAGGAGCCAGCCTTTGAAATGGCAGTATGATTGTGTTTACTGTTTTAAGATGACCAAATACATAAAACCCTATACTTCAAAAAGCACAAATAGATAAAGAGGGGGGAATAACATAGATTTGAAGTAGCATTTTTGCTTTTATATAATGATTAACTTCTGAAATACTTCAGATGGCAAGCTTCATTTTCAAAAGTATTTAATTCAGCAAAAGATCTAAATACAACTGCTTCTAAAATCTCCTTACTAGGTGAGACATGATTGACAATTCCAATAGCAGCCTGATAAGAGTGCTGTCTGCCTCCTGCCATCAGGCCTAGCCCCAGACAAATTGCCCAAGGGAGTGGTAACACTGACACTGAGAAGGGCCAGGCAGTGTCCTAGCTAAGTACTTTGCAAGGGAGACCAGGAGCAACACACAGAATTGAAGCTTGGTCTTTTATGAAAATGCTAATGGATCCTTACACTAGCTCCCAAGATACTACCACACTAACTGAACTTCCTCACTGATATTAATACTTTAATATGACTTCTTAAGGAAGATAAACCTATGAATACATGCTAAGGTTGAGAAGTAATTTGTTGTTCTGTATTCTAAATGATATTGTATAACACACCTGATGTTCCTGACTCCCAGTAAAGAGCTCCCCTCTAATGATGAAATAAATGGTTGAAGGAAAGATAAAGTAAGAGACTGAGTGGGTCCAGTCTGAAATTCTATCACCACATTAATTAAGAGGACCCAAAATTTAAGTATTCAGTATTTGGCACTCAAACCATAGAACTGATGATCAAGAAGTTAAAGACCACTACTAATGGCAACACAAAATCACAGACCTACTATAACTCATGTCATCATATCACCGTATTAAGGCTTACTAATGCTAGTAAACATATCTCGGTAAGATACTTTGAATAACAGAAACATTTTTATTACTGCTGTTTTGGCACTACCCTCGAGACTGTAGCCCAGGCTGGCCTGGAACTCATTGTGTATCCAAGCTTGGCCTCAAATTCATGGCAATCCTCCTGCCCCAGCATCCTGAGATTATAGGCATGAGCTAATATGTCTGGCTTAGAAATCCTTCAAATGCTCTATTTCACAGATTCTGAGATCAGTTTTGGTCATATCTTAGGATAAGCAAATACTGCATGGCACTTTCTTAAATGGAAACTTAAAAATGATTAATTAGCAGCCTTTTGTTCCTTTTCAGTGGTATAAAAACTAGTTATATTATGAGTGATGTTTTGAGTCAATGAAATAGATTTCTTTAAGGTCAAGCTTATGAACTTGGTACCATTTGGACTGGCCTCATTCTCCTCATATCCATGAGTTATCTGGCTCAGTAGTGAGTAAACAACAGTAAAACATCTCCCAATCAGTCCCGTACCACAGTCAGATGCTGTTTTTGGAATGGTCAGAGCAATAGGTACTAGACGTCTATCTTACCTCAAAGACAGAAATATTATTCTTTCGGTAAATCTCATTGGCAGGAGGATGGAACCAACCACATTTCTTCATGTGCTGCTGAAGAATAGTTCTACTTTTCATATATTTTAGACAGAATTCACAAAGATACAATTTAGGCAGCCTGTAAATGATAATTAAAATAGGGATTTAAATTTTATAGCTCTTCAAACTTTCATGACTCTAACTTTTTGTATTTCAGTAACAATAAAACACTGTATGAAATCTTGTTAGTCAAAGTTTATCATTCAGAGTTGTGTGTGGTCATGGAGAGCATGTGCTTAATCCCAGCACTTGGGAGGCAGATCTCTGTGAGTTTGAGGCCAGCCAGGGCTACATAGTAAGATCCTGACTCAAGAACAAAACAAATCAAAAACCCCACAAACAAGTTTATTATTCTGAACTGATGAGATGGCTGTCCATGTCTGATGAGCTGAATTCAATCTCCTGAACCCATAAAAAGCAGAGGGAAGGTGTGTTTGTGTGTGTGTGGGGAGGGGGTCACAAAAAGACAAAGAGAAAAAAAAAAAAGAGGAAAACAAAAAAAATGAAGAAAAGGCTATTGGGATGCTGTGGCTTTTATCTGTAATCTCAGCACTCCTACAGGAAGACAAGAGAACTGCTCAGAAGCTCGTAAGCCAACTAGCAGAGCCATCGGCAGAAACAAGACAGACCCCAGCCTTAACAAGGTGGAAGGAGAAACAACTCCCAAAGTTGTCTTCTGACCTCTACATTCGCCATGACATGCAGACACATTACAGACACATTAACAAATTTGAAAAATGTTTTAAAGAGTTTATTATTCAACAAGTGAAAATGAAGGCCTAAAATTCTTTCAGATGTTTTCTTCTCAGTTGTTAATTTATATTTATTTACTAGCCTTGCAATTATAGCAGTTGTAGTTTACTACAACTTGATCCTTATAGTATCACCTCTAGGAGGAGTACGGCAATAAAATTAAGTGATTAGGCCAGATAATAAGGTATTAAAGATGCTCAGGCAATAGGATCACAAATTAGCAAGAGACTGTCTCAAAAAATGAAAACACACACATACACAACACACACTCCAGAAAAAAAGAAAAAGTAAAATAGGGCTAACGATACATACATAGCTCAGTGGTGGAGGGCTCGCCTACCATACACAAAATAGTGCTGGGTTCAATCCCCAGTAGCACAAGCAAAAACCAATAAGGCAAGTAAAAATTAACAGCTATCACTCCTATTGTAGTGTGCCTCTATATGACCACAGGTTCTTCTCCTATAATATGCATATAACATATCTCTTTAGCATAAATAAATCAGGCTTCTGTGTGTCCTGACATGTATCCAGAAATGCCATGCTTTGATAATCTGAGATCTGATACCATCATTCAAAATTACATGTGCAAAAATACCGCACAGTAAAATGACAGAACATGATTCAAATAAATTACTTTGTCATGTACTATACTCACTGAAATGAGAAAAAGAAAAAATCCTCACTGATTTTGCTGCTATCACTTTAGACACTTATGTTGAAAAGATTACCTTAGAATTACTGAAAACAGTATTTTCAAAGTAGATTGACATATACAAAAAATGTTTGATTTATTAAAGAGTAAGAATTACAATGATTTTCTCAAGTTCCCATTCTGCAAACAGCTTTTGAAACATAATTACCATTTATCAGAAACATCTAACATTCTACTCTAAAGCCTTTCCTGAGGGGCATTTACGTAACACCTGTATGCACTAAGTATTTTATGCTCAAAGAGGGAAAAGCCAAGTGATTACTTTTTTTTTCTCCCTTGAGGATTCAAAACGTGCATTAACTCTCATGTAATTAACCTTACATCTTACTTTTAAAACTGCCACTCCATAAACTGAAAGCTTCCAACAAACTGTTATGGTAAAAAATTTCTCAATGTTTGTAGTATGTATTATTGTTTCCCCAAATCTTTAATATTAGCTATATCAACATAACCAGAAATTATAGCAATGTACAAAATTATTCCAAAATTAAAAAGTGAAAAAATAGTGACAGAGACTGGGTAATCAGGAGGCAGGAAGTAAGAGCAAGACAGAAAAATGTACCCTGAGGCTGTGGCAACCATCTCCTTTGCATCCTACCTCAATTGTACTATCTAGAGGAAAGGTAGCAAGATAAATAGCTGTTCCTCTCTCAACCACCAGAACTACAAATATCAAAATGAAAGAGCCCATTGTAAATATTAATTGCCTGCCCCATGTGGGCACTAAATATTAAACTAAGTCTTAAAGGTGTCCCACAACTACCTGATTGTCTTGCTGAATATCTGGATTTTGAATGATTTCTTCTTAAAAGCAAAGTGAAACAACAGCACCCTCTTCCCAACTTTCTACTACTTATCTATGCTAAATTCTTAATGAGCTATTTTCATTGTCAAATATAAAGATGCAGAAGTGAATTACCTGAGAGTTTTACTCTGAGGGCTATTATAAGTAAATACTTCCTAAACTGTGAGTCTGGGAAGCTTAAACAATTTTTCTGCTTTTAAAAAACATTTAAGGGGCTGGAGAAATGGCTCAGCAGTTAAGAGCACTGACTGCTCTTGCAGAGAACCCGGGTTCCATTCTCAGCACCCACGTGGTGGCTACGAACTGTTCTTAACCCCAGTTCCAGGGGAATCTGAAGTCCTCTTCTGACCTCTGCAGTACTGCATGACACGGGTGCATTCACGTACATGCAGTCAATACATTCATACACATAAAATAAAAATACTAAATAAAATATATTAAAAGACACTTAAAAACACTGTGCGTGGTGGTGTGTGCCTTTAATTCCAGCCCTCGAGAGGCAGAGGCAGGTGGTTCACATCCTGACTTCCAGCTGGGCTGTGACTAGGGCGACCCTGTCAAAAAACAACAACAACAACAACAAAACCAAAAACCAACCAAACAAAAAACATTTAAAAAGAAAAATTAAACAATAAAAAAGTGCCAAGCCACCTCGGCTTTCTACACTATCATAAAGATAAATGCTAACTTTAAGATCATCCAATCCAACGGTTTTAGGTCTCAGCATGAAGACACGAAAATAAAGTACAGTTTATGCTAAATAGCTCAACAGAGGCTCAGGTAGAAAAATAAAATCTCTTGAGAAAATTATGGTCAATTCTTATCTGATAAACGATATCTTCATGCCATTACCATTCCAAGATGTAGATTATAAAGCATTTTACTGACAAAAAAAAAATTACTACATGGAAAATAAGAGAACAAGAGAACACATGATGATCTACTTTATTCTAATCTATTTCTTGTTGAAAACATTTTAAAAGCACCTATTACAACTATGCCCATTGGGATGACATTGCTAATCTAAAGGGAACTGCCTTGTGTGGCGGGGGGGTGGAAAAAGAAAAAGAAAAACAGATCACTTCTTTTAATAAAGTACAAATAGATGTAGTCTGAAAAAATTATACTATACAGAAAAAAGTAGCATGAAATAAAATGCAGTGGTAGAGACTAGACACCGCTTCTGCTAACGATCAACCATCTTTGCTGAGGCTGCTTTCTGTTCTTCCTTTTCTCTTTCACTGTTCATTTGCAGCAGGGTCCCACTGTAGCCCAGACTGGCCAGGCTTGCTCTGTAGCCCTGGCATGGTGCTCTTCTTCCTGACAACACCTTCATGACTTTGTTCAGTTACACCGTGAGATACGGTTTCCATACTGAAGTATACTCTAGAATCTGCCAAAACGCTGTACCCTGTGAAATCAGGGCCGTGCTGCAGCTACATGTCAACTCCCTTAAATATCATTCCCAGGAGTTCCTATAGTACCTCTGGTTTTTCAATACTGACTGGGACAACAGACTTTTGTAATAACTCAACTCAAAGTGAAATTTTAACATTACAAATATTTCTTTAATCAAAGACAAAGGTACAAGTGAAGTTATGTATGCCATATGCAGTGGCCACTCAGCAGATAGAGGTTATGGCTATGTGTTTCATTCAGAAATGGGCTCCCACTCTACTTCTGTCAAATACTAACTATACTGTCTTGAATACGCTTGCTGGACCCTGGTCTGCAAAAGAAGATAGAAATCTTCAACTCACAGAATTAGTCCAGGGATATATAGTAGGTTACCGAGTTCTTAATAAATAGTAATTATACTTGCTGTAATTTATGATCAGAATTTTTATTCTCCTTTCATCCATTTTAGCTCGTCGTTGAATAGTCAAAATATTAAAGATTGTGTTTGGGTTCTTCAATAACTGGGATTACTGGTTCTAGTAACAGTCTAGTAATTAATCTGGCTCTAGTAACAGTCTCAAAGCTACATATTACATCAAGACAAGAAAAGAATGAAAAAAACAGAGGAAATTTCTTAAGCTACTTTACTATGTGGCAATCGGCCTAACCAAGACCTCAAAATGACCTCACGGCAAAGAAAGAATTGTGAAGCAAAGTTCTGAGTGCAGACCACCCCAGCCTGAGATGTAAATATCTGTCTTGACCCATCTAGGGAAATTCACTGCTCTTGTTTTACTTTGGTTTACCTGCTTGTTTGAATCAAGGAAAGATTACTTAGGGATATATAAATACTTGGCTATTATAGGACAAGCCCTAAAGCATAATCTTACTTCCCCCAAATGTTTTCTTTATGATCATTTCTTTTTCATTTGCTCTAATGTTTTAGATGCTTTGGGATTTGGAATTTGTTTAAAAAGCATTTAAAATCTTTAATAACAAGAAAATAATCTAGAAGCAATTTAGTATAAAACAGTAAGTGGGGATTACCAAAATTAAGGCTAGAAGTATGGAAGAGTGATGCAGCAAGACTCCCAACATCAACCTTGGGCTTCCACATGCACACACACCTACGTACACATGAGTGCCTTCGTACATGTAAACATGCATATATATAGGCACATACACCACAAACACGAAAAAAGAAGAAAAAAAAATCTTTAAGTATTTTACTCAACTCAAAAAGAACTCAGAAGTAAAAACCACCAAACTCATTTAAATAGATACAATTTTTAAAATGTAACTAAGAGAATAAAAATAAGGACAGAAAAAAAATCCACTATTACTAAAGACACTATGACATTGCTGAATATTTCTACCAGAGAGTGACTAAGGAAATGTCTAAAAATTTGCTCTAAGAAGTTGACTGTACAGTTCCTATCCTGTTCTTCTTTTTATTATAATTCTCATTTTACTTTTGGTTATTTATTTTTTGCTGGCAGTATTTTACTCATTTAATGAACCAGCTCCATCACAACTGGTTTTAGTAAATAATTTTATCAGAATACAAAGCAGCAATTTCAATGACTACTTTTAATGTCTTAAAAGACAGCAGTCCTCAGTTTAAGTACTGAGGCTGGGTCTCTATTTCCATTACTCCCTTGAGTCAAGGCTAATATGGTTTCAATTTATCTGTATCACAATGGTTGAATAGCTGACAGATTAAACCAGCTTTATTTTCTATCTGGAGTACACTTAAAATGTGCACAGCTTGTAAAGAGCTTGCTTAAAAAAGATAACAGGGGTCAATGAGACAGCTCAGCAGGTAAAGAAAGGTGCTTGCTGCCAAGCCTGATGACCTGGGTTTGATCCTTAGTACCCAGATGGTAGAAGGACAGAACTAACTCCCATGAATTGTCCACTGATTTCCACATGTGTGCCACGGCAAACATACACACATAAAAAAGCAATAAAAATATTAAATGATAATAACTTGTTTAAAACTTCATGAAGAAAATATATATTCAGCCTATTTCTTTTTAATCATACAAGACCATACCTATTTAAAACTCTCAAGGATGAGTTATCTTGAGCACCAGCATTCTGTAGGTAGTTGATTAATTTCTTGCCTTCTTTTAGCATGTATGTGCACATTCAAACATATATAAGTGGGTAATACATATAATTTAACCTTCTCTTAACAAACTTATTATTCCATGATATTGCCTTAAAGATAATACCACAGTGTTAGCTTAGTAAGGTTTCTGATTTTAAAATATTTTGTTATTTTATTTTAAATGTATGAGTGTTTTGCGTGCATGTATGTAAGCGCACTCATGTCATGCAATGCCCACAGAGGTCAGACGAGGGTGTCAGATCCCTTAGAACTGGAGTTACGGATGTTTGTCAGCCATCATGTGGGTTCTGGGAACTGAAACCTGGGTCCTCTGCAAAAGCAGTCAGTGTTCTTAACCACTGAGCCATCTCTCCAGCCCCAAGGTTTCTAATTCTAAACAACAGCTTTTGGATGAGTTAAAGATGGGGAAATTTAAAGCCAGCTAGAATGAAGTGGCTGCCATGCTGCTATAACAGACATTTATTTAAAAGCTTTTATCTTCCTCAAAAATGAAAAGATGAACTGGGTGAAACACCATCAGATACCTTCTAGTTCTAGAGTCTTAGGAGATTTTTAAAAACTAAAGCAAATGGCTCTCAAAACATACCTTGAGTATTCTTGAGGATACGGAGAGGAGTACCAGGTGTGAATTTCATACTTCCCAAACTCAATGATAGAGGGACAGCGGACTTGTGGGTCAGGGGGGCCAGTAACTCCAACTTTCTGTGCAGTCAAGAGAATTATTACACAAATTAGTTCAATTAAATATGGTAACATAAGATTTAAAGTGTTGTATATTCGCCCCAGCTAGCAATGAAGGAAACAACCTCCTGATCACGCAAATACATAGAAAACAGTTTTATGACTTGGGAAAGTACATATTTAAAATATTTTATTATTTTTATTTTATGTGTTTGAGTGTATTGCCTGCATGTAAGTGCACCCGTGTTGTGCAATGCCCACAGTGGTCAGAAGAGGGCGTTGGATCCCCTGGAACTGGAGTTATGGACACTTGTTAGCCTCCATATTGGTGCTGGGGATCAAACCTGGGTCCTCTGCAAGAGGAGCCAGTGCTCTTAACTGTTGAGCCAACTCTCCAGCCCGAAGAACATATTTAAGAACATAAAAAGAACAGGACAAACAAGTGCCAAGAAATTCTTTGATTCACACCACACATGAGGATCTCTTCATCAGTAGCTCTGCACAGACCTGACTGAACAAAGTCATACTTGGTTTAACATGGGCCATTTCTTTTGTCCTTCAGTTTATAGAACAGGCTTGATGGTCCCCTCACTCCTATAACAATCTAAACTGTACTACCGATGGAAAGAGAAGTATTTAAAACCTTACGGCTTGCTTGTCTTCTAAACCAGCAATACAAGCTGCAGCTAAAGTTCAGGTTTTAAAACATTAAATTCAAAGGCAATGTGATTCATTCTGCATACAACTTAGCAACAGATTCATGTTTATGTATGTGCATTTATCATGGATGTTTTATAAATATCAACTGGTCTATGAAAAAGACAGAGCTACAACTTAGCTTGACCATATGTATTAATAACTCTTCATCAAAAGAACAAAGTTATCCTTCAACATTAAGCTTTAAAAAACTGAGATACTAAAACAAAACTAAAAAGACCAAAGACTTTCATTCATTGTTTGACAGAAATTCATTAGTAAGAGAGAAGCCTCTTCAGCACACTCATTTGAGAATCCTCCCTTCTTCCCAATTCCCTCCTTTCACAAAGGCCAAGGGACTTATCTCAGGTTTCACGCTGGAATACAGCCAAAAGAAACCTCAAGCTCTTCTTCAGACACCTTAAAACAAAAGATGATCATCTTCCACTAGCTAGTAAAATGTATTGTAACACCAGAGAGTACCAGGGCTCCTCCAAATGTAAAACAATACACAAATACACCAGATAGGGTTAAAACAGGATTTTTTCATTTTTAAAAAAACAAAATACAACTTTATATAAAAGGTTTTAAAAGGATTTTCTTTAAACTACATTCTAGAATCAAGTATTCTAACTTACAAAGCAGGGTATTTTCACAGATCTTTCGAGCTTACAACAGTAGTAGTTGTACTGGAAAACATCAGAATAACCAAATACCAGAACCCAAATCTACCTTCCTGAGGTCTGGATTAAATAGGTGTACAAAGGCTAAATCAGGCACCTGCTGTAGTGCTACCTGCCATGGGAGATTCCTCCTGTCAGTTGCTCGGTGATCCTCTAGGCGAATGCCCAATGTGAATGTGGAGATCCAGTTCCAGTACAGTTGTTTGCACATCATACCACAGCTTAGAGTCTATACAGAGCAAGATTTGTGGAAGATTCCCTTCCTCCCACACACCTTCACCTCTCACTGCGCGATGCTCTGGCATATGTGCTCATGCGCATTGTGTACTCTGCCACCCACAACTCCCCTGTGCAGCCGCTGCAGAGGAAAGGAGTTTCCACTCAGATTTAAAGTCAACAAAGCTCTACATGAGAAAGAAGCAACTGTACACCTCACACACTCACCCAAGTCCTGCCCAATCAATTAATGAATTACAAGATCACCTTTTGAAGTCACTTAAAAAAGAGTCAGCCAAAATGCTTATCCATTAAACCTGCAACCTTTTAAGTAGCAGGTATCTAATATAATCTAGAGCAATATAAACACATGCATATATATAGTGTATTTTTAAAAAATGTTTTATTTATTATTTTTATTTTATGTTTATGAGAGTTTTGCCTGCATGTATGTGAGTGCACCCATGTCATGCAATGCCTGCAGAGGTCAGAAGAGGGTGTCAGATCCCCTGGAACTGGAGTTATGGATGGTTGTCAGCCACCACATGGGTGCTGGGAACCTACCCTGGGTCCTCTGTAAGAGCAGTCAGTGCGCTTAACTACTGAGCCATCTCTCCAGTTCCAATGTAATGTGTATTTTTAAAAGTGAAAAAAAAACCAGGCTTATTTTGTTCACTGCAAGGGGCACTGGGCTGGGAAATAACAATTGTAGTTTTAACTTTCAACACAAATTTTGCTACTCTATGGCCGCCTTCTTGTAATACACTAAATTTAAAACACAACATACATTTCTAGCTAAAATTGGCCTCTTAATCTAAAATCACCGAGGGGGTATATGAAAAGAAAAGTTTAAATATACCTATTTCTAGATAATGAAACACAGCACTATCAGATTATTCTTCTTCTATAAAACACTCAGCTTCCACTAAATGACCTAATTCTAATTTCTAATCTATGGAGGCAACTCCTGTAGTGACCCCAACTCTGGACCGGTACCCTATCCTTCCCCGTCTCTCCACTCAGCTCCCTCCTGGACCTACCTTCCTTTTCCACTGGGGTGGGTGTGGGGCATCTTGGGGTGACAAGGCACCCTTGTCAGTTCTAAACGGAAATGTGGGGAGATGTCTTTCTGGTATTTGAAAGTTTTCCCACAGAAAGACCATAGTAAGCAATTCCATTCATTGGGAATTAAAAGTGACTTGATGAAAGAGGTATGCAAAAATGAACTCACATACCCCAAGCTGGAGAAAGTATGACCTAAGGAAAATATGGAGAATGGAATTTATGGAGCATCCTTTGTGTCAGAATCTAAGTTTTATTCAGTCTCTACCATTCATCCCTCAAAGTAGGGAAAACCACATCACCTACTTTATGAACAAAATCATGCTCAGAGTGCAGGAGGCAAAATATCAAGGTAGAACAGTGAGAGTGAGCCATAAAGACCCTGAACAGTAGAGGTGAGAGGAAGAATACAGTTAGCATTCAACTAATTAATAGTGTGGATTCCAAAAATTTGCATATACATTTAAAAAAATCATAACTTAAACTGAGGATAGTGCCACAGGTTTGTAATCCCAGCACTGGGGAGGTAGGGGCAGGAAGATCAGGATTCAAGACCAGCCTTAGCTACATACATAATGAGTTAAGCTAACCCTAAGCTACTTGAGATCTTGTCTCCATATAGGAATACACTCCTAGGAACTGAAAGCAGGTACTCAAGATGTCTGTACATCAGTGCTCACAGCAGTACTATTTATAGCAGACAAAAGGTCAAAACAGCCCAAGTGTCCATTAACAGATGAGTAAACAAAATGTACCATGAACACATTGAACCCACTGAACTATACATCTAAAAAGAGTTAGCATGATAAATTTTGGTGTTATACTTTACTATATTTAAAAGTTTTCAGCATTTTGTACTTCAGAATTATGAGGAAGGGTTGTGGACTATCTAAAGAGTAATACCCAAGACAGCCACAAATGCTCCTGACAGTATAAACCACTTCCTATCTCTCTTTTCTAAGCCTTCTTGTACTAGAGACAGACAGCTCCTTTGCTAGTTAGTTCTTTTATCATTAAATGCTGATAAATCTAGAATTCTGGACTTAGACCTTTTCCATCCACAGGATCTATAATCAGTGATCTTACCAGCTTTTTACTCGCCCCACGTCCTTTGTTTTTAATCCAGCTTGGACCCTACAATCTTTCATCAGAATTCCCATCTTTATATATGCCCTTAACTTCCTTGCTTCTCTCAATTCAATAACAAACATCTCAACACTTGTTAAATTCAATTCTCCATATAATGTATTATCTTCAAACCATGTCAATTCATAATTAATAATCATTAAACCTCAAAAAGGGGCCTGTGATGCTCTCCCACTCCCACTCTCACTCTCTTACTCTTCCAGGTGGTCATTTCATATTTCCTCTTGTCACCTCAAGGTGTTTCTCATTCCATCTTAATTTTCAGTTAATGCCTTCCATTCCTACTACACAAAAAACTAGAAGTGAACATTTACTTGGCTCCATCTATATGCAGAAACCTCTGTGCCCATACTTCATCTTGTCTTTCCCTACTATTAAATCTATCTGTACACTCATCCAAGGTTAATGTCTCCACTTGTACATTAGATTACACTGTTTCTCACCTACTCAAAGACATCATTCCAGCAATTTCTCTTCTTTTGAATATCTTTAGGTTTCCCTATTAGGTCATTCCCCTGACCACAGAAACAATTGTTTTTCCTCTTATATTTAAACAAAACTATCTTCTTTATCTCTAACACTTCCATCTCTTTCTCTGCTCTCCTTAAAACACAAGCTACAGACACAAAACTGGTTTCTCTTGTTTTTAGTCCAGTGCAATTACCTTTCACCTCCCCAAGTCCTATCATCAAAACTGTTTCTCACAAATAGCTCCAAGGTACAAAATCTTGATTACTGTTCAGTCCTCTTCTTACTTGATCTGTTTACAGAACTTAACAGTTGATCCTTCCTTCTGGAAACATTTTTAATAAAAACTATTTCCCAGTCATGCATGGTGGTGCACACCTTTAATCCCAGCACTCAAGGGGGCAGAGGCAGGCAGATCTCTCTGAGATTGAGGCTAGCCTGGTCTACATAGATCCAGGCCAGCTAGAGCTACACAGGGAGACCCTGTCTCAAAATAACCAACCACCCCCAATCCCTCTAAAATAACAGACAAAAAAATAATAATTTCTGGTCTGTATTCCCCAAAGCAATTTACAGATTCTATGCAATTCCTACCAAACTACCAATGGTGTTCTTCACCGTATCATTCTTTAGTAAGAGTGAAATTTGAATGCTATCTCTAACCACATACAATAGTCAACACAACAGGTACCAAATACTTAAACATAAGACCTCAAACTATGAAACTACTGGAAGAAAACCTAAGGCTAATGCTTCAAGACATTAAGATGGGTGAAGAGTTTTTGGAAGAAACTTCAGAAACAAAACCAAAACAATACTATATTAAACTACCAAGCTTCTGCACAGCAAAAGTGAACAGACAAAGTGAACAGACAAAGTGAACAGACAACCTATAGGATATGGGAAAATATTTAACAAAGGACCAGTATCTAGAAAATATAAAGAGCTTAAAAAACTCAACAGAAGAAAAATTAATTTTAAAATGGGCAAATGATCTGAACAGACATTTCTCTAAAAAAGATATGAATGCCCAGAATGTTTATGAAAAATGCTCAAATCAATAAAAAACACAAGATACCATCTATCACCAGAAGAATGACTACTGAAACAGAGGAAAAAAATGAATGCTGGTAAGAATACAGAAAAATAGAAATTTTCACACATTGTTGGTAGAAACGTATAGCAGTATAGTCATTATGATAAAGTCTAGAGGTTCCTCAATAAAGAAAAATAGAACATATGATCAATCCACCATTGGGTACACAGCCAAAATAAATAAAATCAGTAAAAGAGAAATCTTCACTCTAACGTTTATTGCAGCACTGTTCACATCAGCCAAGATATAGAATGAAACAAGGTACACATCTATAAGGAAGTGGTTTCGGAAAAATGTGGTACAGTTATATAATGCCACAAAAAATAATGAAATCCTGTTATTTCTGGCAACATGGATGAGCCTGGAGGATAGTACATTAAATGAAATAAGTCAGACACAGAAAGACAAGCAGGTGTTCTTGTACATGGAAGCTAAATAAATGGGTATTACAGAAGTAGAGAGGGCCTGGAGAGATGGCTCAGTGGTTAAGGCCACTGGTCGCTCTTGCAGAGGACCTGGGTTCAATTCCCAGCACCCACATGATGCTGTCTTCGGACTTCTGCTGGCATTGCATGACATGGGTGCACTTACATACATGCAAGCAATACACTCAAACGTACAATAAAAATAATAAAAATAAAGGAGAGGGGAGGGTGGTGGAATGGGAGTTATCAGAATCTGGGAAGGGAAGGAAAAGGGAATGGAGAGAAGTTAGTTGTCAGATATGTAACTACTGTGGTAAGAGAGCAGGGTGACTATCATTAGCAATTTATTTTATATTTCAAAGTAGCTAGCTAGAAGGATTCTGAATGTTCTTAACACAAAGAAATGATAAATATACGAGATGACAGATTATCCAATTACTCTAGCTTGTTTATTATGTTTTATATGTGTGTGTATGTGTGTATGTATCAAAATGTCACACTGTAACACTGTAAATAAATGTACTATGTATCAATTAAAAATTTAAAAAGGAACACTGGCACAGAGGCACATACCTGTAAACTAGTACCTTGGAGGCTGAGGCAGGAGAGTTACAAATTGAAGGTCAGCCTGTGCTATAGCAAGACACTGTCTCAAAAAAAATTAAATACGTATTTAATTTTAAAACTCATTTCCTCCAGGCTCATAAGATAATATGCAATTAAGATAAAATTCTAAAAGTTCTTTACTATAACAAACATTAGTGTGGTGTTAATTTTGACTGTTAACTTGATGGAATTTAGATTCATCATAGGAACAAATCCCTGGGTGTGTCTATGAATGATTTTTCTAGATTGTCAATTATGGTGGGAAGGCCACCCTAACTGTGGGTGACATCCACGAGTCCCAGACTCAATAGAAAGAAGAAAGCTAGCATGAATACTCATCTTCTGTTCTGTGATTGTGGATGAAATTTAACAAGATACCTCTGCTTTTTGCCACCATGCTGAACAGTACCTTTGAATTATGAGCTAAAATACATCCTTAAGCTGTTTTTGTCAGTTACTTTGTCACAGCAACAAGAAAAGGAACTAAAACAATTAAAGATACAAGTAGTATATTTTGAATAAAGTCTTTAGAAAAGTACTTTGTGGTAAATTCCTCACTGGGTGACTGGACCATGATCATGTATGAGAAATGTCTTTGTTTTTAGGAAATACAAATAATTAGATATAAAGGGAGTAATTAAGAATAAGATACTAATAGGACTAATAATATAATACAATTAATAATATAATAATTAGGAATAAGATGCATTATGTGTGCATCTTACCCAACACTTCAAAAAGTTCTTCCAGTCATGAAGAAAGTAATCAGTCAACCCTTTGAGTTTCCATTAAATTCCATGTAGATTTCTAGTATCTACAGTATCTTGTTTTACTTGTTAGTAGGAAAGGAAATAGGCCTTGAGAGGTTAAGTAAACTGCCCAAAGCAGAGGCTGGTAAACTAAGCAAACCAAGACTTATAATTATGCTCATATGACTCCCAATCAATACTTGATTAATCATATATGGTGGAATACTGAGTAAATGCTTGCTGAGTATTTATGTTGCTGTTTTTACTTATCAAAAGTGTTCATACTGATAAACACAAAGGAGTTTTACTCATAACAACTGGGATCTCTAGTATCAGTCTTATAATTGCCTACTTTCGAAATAAAAAGAGAATAACTTGGCTTATGTAGTGAAAGAAGGAGAAGAAAAAAACAAACGTGCATAATCTAGAGAACGCATATGATCTTGTCTGTACTACTGCAACCATACTTGTCATTCTCTACATCTCTGTTCTTGTCCTAAACCAGTTCAGCATGTTTTCCCTTATCTGTTCATTCTCACTCTGTTCCTTCTGAATTATATGAGACCCCATTCTCTATCATCCTGATGAACTGTTGCATGTCCTCTAAGCTTTCTTAACAAGTCAGGTGGGATGGAGCAAGCCTAATTCCAGCACTTCGGTCTGGAAACAGAAGGATCCTGCGGCAAGAGTATCTGTGAGCAGGAGGATCCCACGTTTTAGTCCAGTCTGAGCTACAGAGCATGACCCTATCCCAAAATCGATTTTAAAAAACAAACAGAAAAACCCCTCTATCATCCACTGACCTTTCCAGAGAGGTAGGTACTCGTTTCCTTCCCTATTCTCCCAACACCATTCCAAAATTAAACATTCACATGAATGAACTTTTTATTTCAAGTCTCTCCTATGCTACTCTTGAGAGAAGGGATTCTGTCATTCACTTTGGTGCCTTTAGCATCTGGCACATTAGCGGGCTGTCTATGTTTTATCTTGCCATATGTCATAAAGGATTAAGACAAAAGTGCTTAAAAAGTATCTCAAATTAATCATTACTTATAAGAAGTTTGCTTTTTAATCACATTACAGACTCTACTTCATATAGTAAAAAAAATACAAAGTTCTTTTAATGTTGGTTATCGGCAAAACAAAAGCAACTATGATTTGTTTGAAAGGATTCCTATAACTATGAGGGCTACATATTTACATAAACCACATCTATTTTCACAATGGGTAAGTTATATTTTATATAATTAATTCTGTTTGTCATTCATTCAAATTTTTTGACTGTTCAACTTGCATATGCAACTTTACCTGCAGGGCTTGTTCTTGGATATCACGAAATAATTCCATATCTTTCTCCGTCATGATTTCCTGGCTCCCAAAAAGCCGTTCCTCGCTTTCTTGCTTGCTATCCCAGCCATCCTGATTGTCTACACATAAGAAAGGACTCACAGATTATTTGTATTATCCTCAACTGAATAAAGGAACTTTCAGTTGGAAGACCTTAACATTATTTATATACTAACCAAAAAAAGGACAGCAATGAACTGACTTTTAGAAACATGACTCAATATTAAGACTCCGCCCTTTTGGTGAAAATCCCAAATTGTCTTTAATTTTGCAAAAAATACAGCATAACCAAATTTAAATATCATTAAAAGATTACATTTCAATAGAAAGAATAAGAAATGGTCTAAAAACTGAAAATTTATTCCGATAATGTGACTCTGACACTTTTAGTATAAATTTAATGTGTCAAAAGTCACTAGACAGTTTTCAAAAAGCTACCTTGACCGATACCAGGAAATACTAACTCCCTTCACATTCTGAGTGCCCTGTTAAAGCACAAACTCCACAAACCTGAGGACCACAGATGATAATCCTCTGGGTAAGTATGAAAAATTATAATCGTCCACTAAATGATGGCTCTTCCTCAACTGGGCAAAATAATTAGTGAAGGGAGTATAGGGATTATGAAGATCATTATCCTTTGCATTTGAAGATGACACTGCTGATGGCCTCATTTCCTCTTTGAGTATGGCTGAAAAGACCAATCAGTGATAGTTCTTTTCAAATTTGACTATACATACTGGCTGTTAATTAATACAAGAAGAAAAATACAAACTCAAGGATGACAATTCTCAAACTGAAAAAGAGAGTACAATCTTAAGGTACCAAGTAATTTTAATGTCTCCTAGTGTACAACACAGATGGATGCAGGCACAGACCTAGTATTAACACTATATACAATGATGTACAAATTGTTTTTTAATGCCTATAATGCATAAAGAAAATGAAAGAGCCTGTTAAAGCAAATGCACCAATGATTAAAGCTTAATGTGAGTTCTCCATACACTTTATATATTTACTCTAGCAATTTCTATTTCTAAAGTTTCCAGTAGACTCTTCGAATAATCAATTCATCTTCAGTTTAAGTAGCTCTCATTAAGTTCTGCTTTAAGAGTCTTGTCTTCAAAGTCTAACCTAAATAGATGACACATTTTCTTGGATAAACATGCTCAGACTGAAGTCTACTTCTAATCTACATGACTGGGGAAAGGTGAAAAATCTTGAATACTTAAATAGTAATCAACTGACTGCCAATCTAGTGAAAAGCCAAGCCAGTAAAGAAGAAAGGGAGGAACCAAAGAGGGAACAGGATCTTTCCTGGATCAAACAACCACGTACTTATGCAGAAATAAACATAACCACCTATCCATGGGACATTTGAGAGAAGAAACCAAAATTAGGAAATTTTCCTGCACTAGCGAGACCCTAGAACTTTAGAAATTCTCCTATAATGAGACACTAGAACTTGGGTCTCCACTGAGGGCTGAAGAGATGGTTCAGCAGTTAAGAACACCTGTTGTTCTTCCGAGGACCCAGGTTCAGTTTCCAGCACCCACACAGCAGCTAAAAACCATCTATAACTCCAATTCCAGGGAATCCGACACCCTCTTTTGACCTCTGCGTGGACACTGCATGCATGTGTTGCATTTACATACATGCAGGCAAAGCTCTCATACACATTTAAAAAAAAAATAAAAAATTTTGTTCCCCAGTTTG